GGGCTGTGGAACGGATTAATTTCGTAAGTAGAGGTACCACTGTAGTTGGTTCTGATCATCTGATAACCTATGACTAAGGAAGATGAAATCTTCTGTGTTCCATCAAAGAGTACTGTGTGACTATGTCTGGTTCCAAAAAACTTACTTTCTTCAAACACAGAAAACTCTATTCTCATTTGAAGAAGATCTACATTAGACCCACCAACTGCTGTGATAGTATGCAGAACTTACAAAGATAAGAAGGAGCTCCTGAAACAAACATTTATACTGTATAATTCTGGTTATCCCTGGCATACACTCCTAGTCAATAAAAAAGAGTAAGCTCATATGAGCACATAGCGATTCTATGGCGAACATAATGGCCTCTCTCTAAAAACACTTATTTTTTTCCTGTAAAGATTTTTCTCTAGAGGGAAAAACCCAGTACTCTACTTACAAGCATTCTGAGTACAGAATCTAAGAATCACCCAACCTCTTTCAAAATCTCTGGAAAATAAAAGTGAAACTTCAAAAATCAACAAGCTTTATGTACAGTATGTACAGACTCAAAAATTGAGGAGTGTAATCTTTAATAAAAAATATTATATATACTTCTGACAGTCTAAAAACAGTGGTTAACATAAGCAGGATAGGGAAAACAATAGAATGCTAAAAATTTTGTCAACCCATCAAATCTTACAATCAAGTATTGTTTTCTAAACTTATTTTTAGCATTAAAAAGCAAAACTACTATTTTCAGCTATCATGTCTAAGGATGGAATTTCCTCTCTATTAAAATTTTCTCTTCCTCAAACTGAAATGCTCAGCTTTAATTCTGATGATTAAATAAATCTGACAGAAGAAAAAGGAATGTGATGGTAGAAATATACTTTCATTGTTATCTGTGATAAAACCCTGAACAGAACTATGAGTGCAATCTTTTCTTTCCCACTCTGTTCCAGCTGCCATTTATTTGTAAAGCTAGCTCCTGACAGCAGTTCACACAAGAACCTTTGAAACAGAAGCTTAAATGGAGAAATTGGTACTTAGAAGCACAGAGCCAGTCTGGTGTACTGGTTTGAGTGTTGGACTGTGACTCTAGATTTCAGGGTTCAAATCCCTGTTTGGCCATGAAAACCCATTGGGTGACCTTGGATAAGTCACACTCTCTCAGCCTCAGAGGAAAGCAAAGGCAATCACTGCTCTGAACAAATCTTGCCAAGAATAAAACCTATGATTGCTTTGATTTAGGGAAATTGTCTCCAAACTTCTTTGGGCTACTGCCTCCTTTCTTCTTCAATGACAACCCTAGCATACATACACACACACCGTGTATTTCTTTTATATTAGATCTACTGTTCTAATGCACATTCAAAATAACCAATATTGGTCACTGTTCCCTTTGCCACCAGGTCACACTGGGAGCAGCAACCAAGTATCTGGCTGAGCAGTCACTGAGAAGCCTCTGACCCATGCCGGCCTTATGGCAGAGGTGTCATTAGGGAGCATGAGGGGTGCGGACTGCACTAGGTGACCTGAAAAGTGGGGTGTCACCACAGACACCACCCTAGTAATGCCGCTGTTGATCCCTAAACATCTGTCTTGTGGAAGAAACAGGGCATAGTACTAACATACGTCGTAAGACATGAGGACTTAGCAGAAGAGATGTGGCCAGAAAAAGAGGCAAACGAGACCTCTTTTTTCTCTGCCCACTCAGCTTCACATACCCTGTGGGAGAAGAGGAGGAGATAGGGTAGGACTTCTGGGTTCCTCTATCCTCCTGGTATGACCTGTCCTCATCTGTGTGAGAGGGAGAAGCAGGCAGGAGAATCAGAGAGTGTGTGTGAGGAAGGCTGCTGTCTGCCATTGACACAAGAGCCTCCAACTTCAGGAATGGGGTGCAGGAGGAATCCAGAGATTCTTCCTCTTCATAACACCTAAAGCAGAAGGCTGTTGTGTCAATTCTGCTCTCTCTTTCAGGAGCTGGAGGCTGTTGTCTCCCATTGACACACCAGCCTCCTGCTTCAGGATGTAAGAGGACAAAGAATACCTGGATTCCTCCTTTACCTCACTCAAGAAGCTGGAGTCTCTTGTGTGAATGGGAGACAGCAGCCTCCAGCTTCAGAAGTAAGGATGATGAAGAAGTTGTTTAGGAGTTATTTATATCACAACTATTACCATTACATTCAGTAAGGTATAGAATTATTAAGATGTAACATTAGTACAAAAACATTACTAAGGATTCTGTACGGTCTGGTATGGGAGGAGGTCAACATCCTGAGTTATCGCACTGGGTGACACCACTGTCTTGCGGCAAAGACCAGTGCAGGCTAGAGACCTCTTAGTTGCTGCTCAGTCAGCTGCTCAGTTGCTGCTCCCAAGGTAACCAAGTGCAAAAGGATAGAATTCTCCCTGGCGAGGAAGGACTCTGAATCCTTCTTCGTTAGGGTGGACAGGGACACAGCCAGTGTGTGTGTGTAGGAGGTTTACAGAGGCCACATTCTCTGGACTGGAGACTGGCATGGATGGGGAAAGGGACAGATTTTAACCATTGGAGCTAGTCCAAGGCAAAGGACTCTTTCTAAGAATTGAACCCTGATACTCATCTTCCTATTTCCCTAGAGACATACCTTCCCCACACAGCTTCAAGTGTTCACCTTCCCTCCCCCATCCCAGAAAAAAATGTTTCTTCTGCTACTTTTTTTCTTGGCCTGTCCAATGAAAGAAAGCATCTACAATAGTGCAACTCTAACCTGCCAGCCAAGTCCTGGCAAAACTCACAAAGCTTAAGCAGGGTCCTAAATTTGAAAGCTCCTTTTTGCTGCCACTTCTCCCCTGCTTCTACTACTACTAATTTCCCAACCACCACTACCAGTGAAAGACGCAGGGAGTGAAGAGTGGGTGATACCAACACACAAAGCAATCCCCACCATGGTCCTAAGGGCAGCTGGTTTCCCTTTGTCTTTCTTGCACACCAATACTTTGACTGAAAGTTCCCTGACCCCAGGAGGTGTATTGTCCACTTTGGGATCACTGCTTTAGGGCCACCATAAATAGGAAATAATTTGAAGGCACACCACAACAAACTTAGTTGTCAACTAAATAGAAACAATGAAACTTTTCAGATAGATTTTTAATGCTATGGTGGGGAAAGGACTATTGGGGGAAAGGGAGAATTCTACTATGTTTAATGTAAGGAGAAGGCTGGAACATCATCAACCAGAATAGATTATTGGATTATCACCCCCTGACAGTCAGTTAGTGAAGTGTCAGGGTAGCTTCTATCAGAAACTCTTCAGCTACTGCCTTACTTGGACTTACATTTTAAAGGAGCTATTTTTTAAAACAAAACTTCAGTGTATAATAGATAAGTGTTCAGGTTTTGTACTGACCCAGAATACTTCACCTACATTTCTATGATACTAGGAAACACAGCGGGGTACATTCACCTAAGAATACGATCTAGTTCAGTTATTTCATGCTTCAACCACATTCTGAGCCTCCCAAGGCAGAATTTTCAGTATATTAAGGCTGTACAATGAATAGATAGATATGTATGTATTGTGATGGTAATGATATGGTCATAATAAATTTACAAATATAGTTTCCAAATACACTGTCAATTGCATAAATATAAACACAAGAAACTGATGCACACAGATCAGTTCAGAGCAGCCCTTTGTAGAATTTCCTTATCAATCATTATTACAGACTTCTGAAATAATGTTGAGCCCACAGAAATTTACCATCACTGATGGTTTTATTTGACCACTTGCTTCAAATATGGACTAATCTCAATCAGTAATAAGCATTTTACTTAATTTAAATGAGTAATCTCAGCTCTCAATCAAATACAAAAATACATATACACACATTCACTTGGGAACTGAAAGGTTTGGGGCAGTGGGCTTGCAATCGCAAAGATAGACAAAGACTGTAACATGTGGAAATGTTAAATTATAATGCAAGCAAAGACTCAAGACTTTCATCCCCAATTTCCATCAAGTCCTGAAGCATACTGAGACAGAATCACTAAGTAGAATCTGATATAAAAATATGCACTTTTTCTTTATTATTAGTTATATTTCCATTCTGCCTCTTCTCCAATGTGTTCACAGGGCTTTATATGACTCACCGCAGTCCCACTCTATCCTGTGAGATAGGTTAGGTTGAGAGAATTCTGCCTCAAGATCACGCAGTGAGTTTCATGGCTGACTGGTAACTAGAACTAGAATTTAGTATTCTGTGGGCCAATTTTGTGGAATTTTGCTTAAGATTTAGATGAAATAAATGTATGACAAATAGCACCTATAAACCCCATGTTTCATGCAAAATGGACCAGAATCAGCAGTTTTTGGAGGGGGGCAGTTGATGTATCAGTCTCAACTTGCTTAACATTTTTTAAGATGTCAACCCAAATGTAAATATCATGTTTGGTCAAAAAATGTTCGAAGAATGAGGGAGGGGAGAGAAATAGGATCACAGAGCAAATCTGAAGTATTTGTTCAGGAAGTAATTGATGGATTTGGTACAAAACCCTATTACAGTTTTTATTTTTGTCTCATTAAATAGCACCATGTTTGGTGACTCAGAGATCAAATACATGGATCTGTATTGCATAAGGGGTAAACAAATTATAGCACAGATATGGGAAGTGAGGGTGAGAATTTTCCATTGCTCTTATTGTTAAGCTTGTGGAAGTTTTTTTTTAAAAAATCCTCACTAATCTACTGCAAATCATTCAGACATATTCCAACAGATGTCTGATTCACTTTCTGCTCATCTTAGAGACAGGACCAAGCTTTAGAATTAGTTTCACTATAGAAAAGCCATGAAATGGTGAAAAATGTAAGAAACAGTTCCAGGCCTTCTGGTATTCTACCACCAGTAATGCTTATTCAGCTGTATCATATGCTATTTATGGTTACATAGTTCACTCTTAAACAAATAAATCCTACTGTTCATCTATCTTTGAACCAGAATAAACCCAAAGGATAAGTGATACCTCTTCCCAATTCCAGCTCAATAAAAACCAACAGCTTGGTTGTTAAACACCCAGAAGTCCACAATACCTACCTTGGGTTAAACAAAAAATACATTTGTGGCAAAACAAGCCTGAATATCAGCAAAACCACCATGTCTCTTATCGCTCCCACAAAATCCTTTCAAATTAAGTAAGAGTGCTGAAAGATCTAGTTCTAAATGCAACAATGTTTTTGAATGCTCTGGTCTTATTTAAATAATTACACAGAAATAAATACTGAGATTTCCAGTGAGACTCAACATAGCTCTTTTTCATCCTCATTTCTGGTTCAGAAGAAGTTATATTCCCTATTTTAAAAAAAAAAAAAAAAAAAAAGCCAACCCAAAATGCATTTAACCACTGTGGTCCACTGGAACTGGAATGGGTCTAATTCACACATGTTCCATCATAAGAGAACGTTTGAAAACTGTGACATAAGTTTTATTAACTCAGTCATGTAAAATGAAAGATCTTTAAACACTAACAAATCACAGGAAAAGCACACCATAAACATGCTGAGTAGAGGATAATGTGACATTTAATGATGTGTTACTTTGTTATTGTCACAGATAATAAAAAAACTTGTTATTTTATTATCATTTTTACTTAACCAAGAGAGGTAGGTGGAAGTTATAAACTGTTTGGGTAGCAGGAAAGCAAGCCAGAAATATGCAATCCTTTGGAACAAATCCACAAGTGGCATTAACATGAATAATTTATAAAATTACTGCAAGCTCTGGAAGATCTAAAGCTGAATTCTGCTTCCAATGAGACTACATGCTTATGACATAGCAGCTATTCGAAGGTGAGGAGATAATCATAAACAAATTTTACTTATTTATTTGCTATGAATCTGGTAGCATATCAAGTGTTCTATAAGTCAGTAGATACCAGTAAATGTAAGCAGGGGCCTAAAATCCAGTACAATATAAGGTTTTTCTTTCTCCATAGCAATTTCCACTGCTCTCTAAAAACTGGCTCCAGTTAGTTCCTAGACACAGAGAACTTTTAATTGAAAAGCGAAACCCATAGCACAAAGCAGGCAGAAGAAGATAGCATCTGTAAATATATCAGAAGAGGGAAATACCAAGAAACGCATAGGATTTG